TGGAAATAAAGTGTTTGTAAATGGGGAGGGGAAGAGGGGGTAAAGGGAGGGCAGGGACAAGGGGAAAAAATGAGAACCAAGACCTGTCATGTAAAGGTACAGGATCCTAGTAATGAATGTAACTGTATTATATACCTAGATTGTACCAATAAACTCAATAAAAAGAAAAAACATAAAATTGAATGTGTACGTAAATAAACATGAAATTATTCCATCATTTTAAGGGTTTTCATAATCTCTTGTTTCAATCTCAAAATTATCTTTTAATAACAATTAGAAACAGCCAATTTTGAACAAACTTTCCATTTCACTACAACCACTTTGCTGTTGAATTCAACATAATATTTATATTAGCAAAAATACTATGATCTCATTATAAGTTATTTTTGTTCATCATGCCCTCTGAATATGGCCACATATAAATATAAGAAGATGTCTAGTTTGATGCTCACTGAATTTTATTACTAGGAACTTCTGAATGGTGAGATTAGGATCATTTGCTGTTTTCTTCTCTATTATTTTCTGGCTTACTTAACTTTTTATAATGAATATGTATTATTTCTAAAAAATAATTTTAAAAGTAAATTAAAATAAAACAGAAATCAAGTTATTCCATCATTAACTTTGACTAATCAACAGCCAACTATGCTTAAGCATGTCATCTTAGAAAAGTATATTAAGGAAAAATGATTATTTAATATAAACTATTTAATTTCTTTTACTAGATATTAATATTTATAATAAATAAGACTAAGATCAGGCCAGGATTTATCTCAGTGGTGCTGCCACCTGCCTCACAAGTGTGAAGTCCTAAGTTTGATCTCCAGTACCAAAAAAAAAAAAAAATTAAAAGATTAACATCAAGGAAAGATATTATCCTGATAGCCATAAAATAAATTCAGATGACATTCCCAAGAGCTCAAAATCCCTGTAATATTTAATTTAACTAACCATAAAAAATAAATAAATAAAAATTTAAAATTCCCATCAAGTGACACCAATTTGATAGTAAAATGGCAAGCCACATACTGGAGAAAATATCAGCCATATAGATATTTGGCAGATACTTATATCCAAAATACAGAAAGAAATCTATTAAGTCACATAAAAGAAGACCCAGTACTCTAAAATATCAAGGGACAAGATTTGTACATAGCATTCACATAGATATCCAAATAGCTACCTTAATAGCTATAAATATATACATATATATATACA